GTAAAAAGAGTCTTCGGTTCTCTACACTCACCATACGAAACACAGCAGCATTAAGTTGCTATTTTACGTTGGTATTCTGTGAGAGAGCGTGGTCCTTCCGCGGTCGAGCCGACCCATTGGTGCTACAACTATACTATTGATATAGCTGCAGGATGGCTCTGCCACGCCTAGGGGGCATAACTTTATTTTTGTATGGTGTAAACGTATAATATAAACGATCTATTCACTATAGTATACTAATCAATGCCATCCACTTCTCATTCCTCTTATGTGATGAAAAAGGTTAAATATAAAATTATAATTAAATGTGTGACAATAATCTTTTTAAATTTTAATCTATACTGCCTATAGGTTTAAGTGCTTAGAATTAACTTCGTAAGTTAACGCATTTAAAGTAGAATATTAATGTACAAATTAAATTCACATGAGTGTTAGTTTCTGCTCAAGCATATTGTGATTTTCATAAGATACATCATTACTTTCTAACAAATCCCAACCTGAACATAACTTTGCCATAAAAATCCACACTTGCTCTAACCCTGGTAACCTGATTTGTGACTGCCCTACTATTGAAAAAGTCAGCCAAACTAAATATCTAGACATAATGTTGGACCAACGACTTAGCTGGAACTCACATTTGGAACTGTTAACAAACCGCACTAGGAAACTCATATAGGTATTCAAATCACTACGGCAGGTCATGTGCAACAAACTTAAAAACCGAATCTATGTAGCCCTGACCCAATCGGTGCTCACGTACTGTATCTCGATTTGGGGAGGAGCTGACAAAACTCACTTCCTTGCATTCGAAAGAGCTCAGAGATCTCTTATCAAAGTCACCTACTCCAAACCTTATCGTTTTCCCACTGATACACTATATAGAATGAGTGGTCTACTCACAGTACGAAAACTCTATGTTCTGAATCTCATCTTAACGTGCCCCAAATCTTTGCCTTATGTCGACCTAAGTCATAAAAGAAAGAAGGATGTTGTTGCCCCCGTCACTGCTGTACGTACTGCTTTCACCAGAAGACAATATAGTGGTCAGTTCGCCCATATATACAACAAAGTAAATAAAATACTTACAATATACCCCATGTTATCTTACACTTGTAAGAAAACTTTAATAGAATGGTTGGACTCAGTTATGAAAAACTTTTCATAAGAATTAATTAAAACTCCGTTTATTAAAACCTGCATGCGGAATACCCATACCGATCCCAAGGAACCTCATCCGTAAGGCTTACAGGTGACCGACATACACACGCACATTCACGCACACGCACACACATACACACACACACAAACATACACTAAAATATATACACGCTAACTAACTCACATTTCTATAATTCTAAGCTTCTAGATATAATATAGTTTAATAGTCTTATTGAGCAAACTGTGAGAGAAATAGCGAGTTATTCCCAACACAAGTGTCTATGACTCTATGACTTTTGAAAATAAAGGAATTTTTATTTATTTATTTAATTTTACTTTCTAATTACCTGATATGATAATTAGTATTTTGTATAATGTTTTGTAAGATTTTTCTGTATACTGAATTTACGATATTTATAAAGTTATTTCTTTAATAAGAGAAACGTCCAAAATTTATAATATTTACATTTTGAGAATTTACTTAACATTACTTAACTTAGGTAAAGCGTTATTTTATAATAATTTTTATATACTTATAAATATAATTATAAATAAAAATGGAAGGAGTTTGAAAAATAATTACAGGAAAGAGTGACAAAGCAAATGTATGTTGTAGAAGTGAAGGGCAGAGTCGGGAAGGGACGCCCTAGACGAAGGTTAATCGACCAAATTGGCGAGATATTAAAAATGGGCCAGATTAGGAATACCCTTAACCGATGATAGTGTATGCGTAGGTATATGGCGAGAGTTTCTTTGTCAGAATTGTGCCAAATGGAATTTTATAGTCCCTGTGAGTGACACGCGTGAGTATTTATGACATAATTACTGTGTTTCGTATGGTGTGTTTAGAGAACCGGAGACCTTTTTTACTGGAATCGAGGCATTCCATCTAAGTCCTCACGGGCGACAACGCATCTGCATTTTGATTCTTAATTGAGAATAAAAGTAGATGTCTATGGGCTGCAGTATCTACTCACCATCAGGTAGACTGTGCGCTCATTCATCCCCCTTATATTATTATCAAAAAACCCATGAAGTTGTGAGAATTTGACGTAGGTATTATAGAATAAATAAAATAATAACAATGATAATCACTTACGTAATATACACATTTAACTAATAAATAAACTATACCTATATAACCTATATATACATATATATGCATATACATATTTATGTACATATATAATTAGTACATACAAAAACTATGAATAAATAATACTATCAGTTGATAAATGTCTTTCTCAATATTCTTTTTTAACCGACTTCAAAAAAGGAGGAGTTTTTCAATTCGTTGGAGTCTTTTTATGTACGTTCACCGATTACTCGAAGAGGTCTAAACCAATTTGGAAAATTCCTTTTTTGTTTCAAAAAGTATACTTACCAAGTGGTCCTATTTAAATTTCCTCGAAATCAGTCAGGCGGTTTTTAATATCAACAATAAATTATATTGACGTAGGTTGTAAAAAAATAATAATTTTACCACGTGTAATTGTCATAATTAGAATTGGTGGTTGCAGTAGATTTAGCACTTTTATCGCAGTTACAGGCAGCCGATGTGGGTGTTTTAGATCCAGTATATACTGCCGTATGGCATGTGCGGTGACGTACATTAACCCTTCCGCTGTCCCGTGCACTACATATAGGTCATTGTTATTGTCTTACTATTGTGTCTGAAAATCGGACAGTGAAAGTGGCAACCTGTAACTCTATTTCGGGCCGTAAGTATCCTTAGAAGCCACTATTAGAAATTTGACACCCGACAAAATGTGCAGGCTGATAATGGTGTCGTGATCAAAGGTTCGAGTGGTTTAGTACTGCAATGGGTCGACGTTGATCTAGTTATAATTAATACGACCGCTAATCATGTGGTACTCGAAAGTTCTGTGGTTCGAATCCCGGGTTGAACCAAAAATAATTTATTAGGTTATACTCTCAGCTGATCTCTCTGCGGTCGTATCGGATTACCGTCCCTTTGGACTATGAGAGTGAGGGAATTGATAGTGCACCTGTTCTTTCGGACAGTATATTGGCTGCGCAAGATAGTTCGACTACCCCACAATACCGTAGGTGTCGCAGAGGTGATAAAAGGAAATTAAGCCAGGCGATGAAGAATAATAAAAGACTGTGGTTGCTAACATTTTATATGTGGTAGAGCCATGCTGCGGCTATATTATGGTTGTAGCACGAATAAGTCGGCTCAACCGGGGAAGGACCACGCTCTCACAGAATACCAGCGTAAAATAGCAGCTCATTGCTGCTGTGTTTCGTATGATGAGTGTAGAGAACCAGAGACCGGTTTTATTAGAAAAGAGGAATTCCATCTTAGTCCTCAGGGGTGACAAGGCATTTGCATTTTGATCCTTAATCGAGGATAGATGTAGATGTCTATGAGTCACAGTATTCACTTACCATCAGGTGGACTGTGTGCTCGTTTGTCACCCTAATTATATAACAAAAATAACACGTATGTCAATCGCGGCATTTAGGACAAGCAGCCCAATGTTTTTAATGCCATTTATAACATTAATTTTACCAACAAACTACACTCAAGACATTTTAAATTATTAAAGTAGCTACACTTTGAATATCAAAGTAATGTAAATAAAACACAAAAAAAAAGAAATAAAAACAAATTTATTTATAGGTCTAAGGAAATATTATGACAAATATAAAAGAAACAACAAAATGTCGTTTATTAAAATGTAGTTTTTATTTTACTAAAACATCAAATATAAATTACTTTTACACACACACGCACACGAACAAAGATAATAACGGTACATGATGTCACAAATTATAAAAACCTAAAACAAACGAAAAGGTGGGCAAGGATTTCTATAGTACTGACCAATATGTAAATATAAATATAGAGTATATTACACACATACAATTCAGGCATACATAGATATAGCCAAAATATATAAGAAATAAACATGTACTTATGAAATATACTAAAATATATTTACATTATATATACAAACATCAACGAATAAAAAGTAATAATACAGTTAAATATATCATAGTATAAATAAGACTTGGCAGAGTATAAATAAAATATTTATATCGGTATTTGTATATAAATAAAATAAATTATATACAGAGTCCCGAAGTAAACTTATGTATCTGCACAAACAAAATAAACATAATATATGTCTAAATTTAAAAATATACGTAATAGGAAGTATTGTGTAATAATTGTGCACAGTGTTTATGCACGATAAATACTGATATACATATTTTAACTAATTAAAACTATTAGATATGTTATAGGATTATAGATTATGCAGTTCATGCGGTATCTTTAAACCTGTTAATTTTAAAGAAACAGTATCATTAAACGATATAAGCTATCTTGTAGCTTAGGCCGTATCTGGTACTTGCGGCGTTTGCCAGAATGAACTATATAAATGTTTCATTGGATCTTATAAGAAATGATCATTATTAAACTGTTATGTAGAGTTGAGATAATTTCGTTACTACATATTTATAAATTATTATATATTGGTTATAATAGATACCGAAAACCGCGTACATAGATGAATATATACAAACAAATACTTATTCGCAATATATACAATTAACTTTAAATACTTATCATGCAAATAAAAATCCTTTTCAGTCAGATTATTGCACGAAAAAAATAACAATAAAAACAAAATAAATGAACATAAAATGACCGAAAAGAAAAAAAAACACAACGAAAAGTGAACAAAATAAAATTTAAATTAAATCCACTAAATCGCATTCACACACCCGAACGTACATCAATAAATTAACAATCATTAAATAGAGGCTACGATCATTTTACCCGAAATAAATTATTTGGTTGCTTCGATTTCTTATCGGCTATATGCGGAATATGCTAAACTGTTACCGTCGTTCTTGGAGCGGGACCAACCGTTTGATTCCCATCCTCCATGAGGATGTTCTTCATGAGCAGTCACCCATGTGTGCTCTTCCTGGGCGTGTTTCTTGGCAATGAGAGCTTTGACAATGGCGATAACCTTGGCAATAAACGCGATCTTGGCAAGCAGTGCAAGTTTGAACACCGAAGCCGCAATTACTAAGAGAGCCAGAACCACGAGCGCGACGGCTTTAATCTTGGCTAAGATAGCAAGGGGAATAAGTATCTTGAGCTTCTTCTTCAGCTGCTTCTTCTTCTTGCCTCGACCTTCTGCATATAAAAAAATAAATAAAGAAAATTAAAAACTAAATTTAAACAAAATTAACATGAAGTTTTATATATAAAGAAACGTCGAAGTAATAAAATATTTCGTGCATCTGTGAAGTCCGCCGGCACGTACTACGTACGTAAAAATGAGAGGAAGCCTATGCTCAGTGTTAGGACGTATAAAAAGTGCAACTTCACTTTACCTTATAAAAATTAAAATCAAAGTAACAGTCTACACACACTCACTAGTGTCCACAAACTGCCTTTAATTTCTGAGAAGATTTCTGGAGTAGGGAAATGTAAGCTGCTCAATAGTGTGTTCATGAATTTCACATGTTCTCAAAATTTTACCAATGTTTTCATGCGAGTTCGTTGTAAATTGCGACTTAAAATTTTAATTACTATTTTTTTGATGCCGGTGTTTCGTACTTTGATTACGTAAGTACCGCCACATTTCAAAGCCCTCACCTAACTCTGTACGTAACAAAATATCGTTATACCTATTTTGTACGTATTATTGGTTCACTTACGCTATAGTAAAATAGATACGGATATAAATAATCACAGCCTTGCAAATTATACTTCAAAAGGGAAGACTAATTTCTGAACTTTGTAAGGCTAGTGAAGATAGAAGTTTATTTTCACATTAATACAATCGAGTTCAAACGCATTTTCGTTCAAATTTTCACATTAATACAGTATCGTTTTATGTGAGTTTGTTGGCAGCAATACAATACACTACATATTTTTTAAAGAAAAACTAATTTAAAATGTATTAATTATAGTTAAATGTGACGCCTTGGTACCGTTGTAACTATGAGCCTGCAAATAATTGTTTAAAAAGATAATATTATGTAACATTTTCGTTATATCGTTAAAATCGTATTGTATTTACCTGTGTGATTTTTTGGTCAGAGTACCTGGCTACTGCACGGACGATTTAGGTTGGTTGACGATTAAGTTTGGGTTTTAATAATTCCTGTGTATGTCGCTGCATCTCATTCATCCATATTATATTATCAGGATATTAATAAACCCTAACCTATTGCGCCATATACACACCCACAGCAAGAAGTTACAAGTAACTTTTATTTTAAGATAAATCCTCTAACCTTACTTACAAAAATACTAAGTAAGTTTTTTTTTAATGAGAAAAACGTTACCCCCACACTAGGTTTTTCTCCTGTGTCGTGGAGGCAGTTTACAAACATAAATTGCACAAGGACAAACATCCAGACCCGGAACAATTATTTGTAGGCCATACAAATACTTGTTACGTGCGGGATTCGAACCCGCGGCCCCAAGCGCAACAACTGATTGCTAAGCCACTGCGCCACGGAGCCGTCTTAAGTAACCTAACTTACAAATAATTGCATCACACAAATAATTTGATGATCACTCAGAATTCTACATGCAAATGCTCTTCTATATACACTTAATGCTATTCCTTTTAATATTATAATAATAAACATATTATATTGGGCAAAGGTTTCCTCCTATTTCGAAAGTTACTCTAATGCATATTTGTAGACTTCGCAGATCCTCAAAATAGTTTTTGGATCGAAGTTCTTTGCTGGACGGTACGAATTTGGCGGATGGGGTTAGACGAGAAAAAGTGTAAGATTTTTCCGTCATGACCCCTTCTGACGTAGTTCTGTCGCACTTTTTCTTATTTTTTATTTTAAATGACGCTTCATTTTAATAGACGCCAGTAATAAATTTATATGTATTTTTTAATAAATAATATAATGCGTTTATCAATTACAATCAGTAGCCTAGTGGCAGGGCGGGACCGCGAACTCGAAAGGTCGTGGATTCGAATCCGCTATTCGACTACTGTCGTAAACCACTTCTAACACAAGTATTTTATGCTTACCAGAAGTGGTTTAAGGGAATATTAGTAATGTTTAATAGTATTACTAGTATAAAAAAGGTACTACGAAAGGAACTGCGTTCCGAACGAGTTTTTCACGACACTCACACATGTTTTTTTTTTAATTTATCTGACAAAGATTTTTTAAACAAATATAAAGGTGACAAAGGTTTACAGTTTACCTGATGGTAATTGACGGCTATGGCACATAGACATCTACATTTACCTTTGATTAAGAATTAAAATGGACATGCGTAGTCTTCCTTGAGATATCAAATGGAATGCCTCATTACCAGTAAAAAAGTTTCTCCAATTCTCAAGCATTTTAAGCTGATATTTCATGCTAGCGTCCTGTGCGAACGTGGTCCTTCCCCGGTTGGGTTGACAAATTGGTTTACGTACACATTATGTAAGCAGGAATGTAACAGCTCGATCGGGGTAGCGTACTGTAGCGTGGCTCTACCACGTATAAAACTATACTTTACAAAAAGTTAGCAACGTTTTTATTTATCACCACCGTACTTAAAATGGTCATTAACAGTTTTGTTGGTGCATATACATACCACGAAATTTAACTATATATAAGTTATTTGTTCTCGAATATATTTGAATAAGTATGAATAAAATAACGGAACTTCTTTAGCCTCTATTTAGCGTTTTCATTGACTGTCATATCAATTTAACCGTTAACTAAACATACGACTTGTAACCGGTATTACAGAGAAAAAGTTGTTTAAAACCCAACATTTTTAATGTTAGCAAAGAAAGACTGATTTATTATGTTTTTATACAAACAAGTTTAAATTTTTTTCACTAGAACTGTACATATTATTTAAAGCTTTTTAAGCTTATTGATTGCAACGTGCTTTGTGGCATTCCTTGGAGAGAGCCTATGTTCAGAAGTAGATTTACGAAGGGCTGTAATAATGGTGAGAATGAAGTTTGTAACACGATTTCAGTGAGGGAAAGAGAAAATGTGGGAAGATAAATGCGTTTACTTTTGGAAAGCGTCTTAAAAAAATTAATTATCGTAAACGCCCTGCGTACGTTATGTGCTTTCACTTTTTTTTCATACATTTAAAACTGCGTATTCAGTTAACATTTAAATGTGTTTATAAAAAATAATTGGTAGTTTTATTCTGTTTTTTTTTTTCTAAAGTATAAAAAGAAATTTATATTTGAGTCTAAAAGAAAGTAAGTCAGTCAATTAAAAATGTCGTAATTAAAAAAACAAACAAACCTTCATCAATAGACCTCGACTCTTCTTCGTCATCTCCAGAACCATTGAAACTTAGTTCCAAGTCGCTTCTTTGCAGGAGATCGGTAGTGCTCTCCCAAAGCCGCTCATTGATTTGTCTGCTTCTTTGTTCAGGCTCTGTGGATAGAGGTTCAAGGCTTCGGGCTTCTTTAGGTCCGTTATTGTAGATGGTGACACCTTCAAAAATATTCAGCTTTCTTACTGTGCCCAGTCTTTCAGTCGCTTTTAGTGCCTGCTCCTGTAAAAATATTGTCTTTTAGTGATATTAATCAAACACATTTATGATACTGCTATTCCAATTTCTCAAGAGATTTTAACTTATTATTTAAATTATACGATATTAAGATATATTTTATTTCGTATTCTTAAATAATATTTTATTTTATAACTACTTCTATATGTATAACAATACTAGTTGAATTATTATGTGAGTTTAAACTTTAAATATATAAATATGCTCTCATGAGACTGTAATGCTTCTGATTATTTTATTTAATATGATGAACAAAATTTTATTTTAGTTTTGTTTAATAATATAACACTTCTGAACAATATTTATGTGAATATGTTTAAAAACAACACGCACAACGCGATCGTATGTCGCGTCTCTCGAAAGTGAGTAGGAAATAGCACATGAGAAACCAGTTAGTCCTTTCAACGGCGTACGATATCAAAAACCTTTTTGAAAATTGTCAAATCAACACTGAAATTACCTTCAAACACATATTCAAATCACTGTTCATGCAATTCACAAAATTTCCGATCACCAATTTCATCACTGTATCGTCTTGTGACACAGGAACACATGTCGCTAAAGCCACAACACTTATAAGAAATACAAAGAACTTCATCTTTGGTTTCTTTTTTTTTTTTGATGCACGTTCTTAAGCGGAACCGATTGGACTGTGGCCATCGGCAGATTGGTAAGAGTTTTTTATCTAAATTTCCCCCACTATCTTGTTTGGCAACATTAACATTTTAATGTAATTGATGCCATATTGGAGACGGAGAAGACATTATGCCATAGTGAGTGACATAGTTATTCTTTCATTAATATTTATTTTATATCAGATAGCGCACGCTTTTTTCTTTTATGTAAGGTTTATGCAAAATGTGCGTTATTCAAAATTATTACTTCAAAAAATTGTAAATGGACAGTGTTATTCTACAATTACGAAATATGTAATATTTTAATCGGGTGTTTTATAAAAAAATAAAATAAAATAGGTAATTCTTTAAAATAATTTATTGATAAATTAAACTTAGGTACTTGTAATTAGCAGGCAGTCATTCATTCCTTGTTGAAATAAATATTTTACATACACTCACACACAGAAATAAATACGCTCACACTTGAACTTCATTTATATTAATTCCCTAATTGTCCAGCGTACGCTAATGATTGGGCTTCGTTTACTTTTCTGCTCCATCCTCCAGCGGGTTCATAAGAATATCCTGGATGTTCTTCATGATGTTGTGGAGAAGAAGCATAAGTAATTACACCAGAGGATTTGTTTTTATTAAGAAGCCTCCTGATGAGGTTAAACGCATTCATTGCAAATGCAATCTTTCCGAGGAAGACTGCTTTGACAGCGACAAATGCAATGATGCCGAGGAACAGTGGGACGAGAGCTGCCAGTTTAACCTTCAAGAGTAGGAGAAGCGGTAAAAGCTGCTTGATCTTCTTCTTTTTCTTACCACGGCCTGTAAAGAAACACATTATTTTTTATAGAATAAGGGTGACAAACGAGCACACAGTCCACCTGATGATAAGTGGATCCTGTGGCTTATAGAGATTTACATATATCCTCGATTAAGAATAAAAATCCAGGTGCGTATTCACTCCTGAGCATTAATATAGAATGCCTCGTTTTCAGTAAAAAGGGTCTCCGGTTTTCTACACTCACCATACGAAACACAGCAGCATTAAGCTAATCAGCTTTCACGCTGGTATTATGTGAGAGCGTGATCGTAACCCCGTCGAGTCGACCCATTCGTGGTACAACCATAATATAGCTGCAGGATGGCTCTACTATGTTTAAATAGTTACATTTCGACTAACATAATTATGAATTATTTTGAAAACATTTTTTTTTTGGATTTCGCTTTCGATTCGAACATTTTGATTTCGCTTCTCGTTGCCAGTCTGGGAATTTTATATTGAGTATAAATATTAGATAGTTGTACCGCCATCTTTCGAAAGTCTTAAGGTCTTTCAGAACTTTTCCTTTGTCACTTCTTACGATAAAGACAATATGATTATGGTTTGAAACGTTAACATGATTACGTGCTTACTATTAATTGTGATAATTTTGACATTCGCAATACACCTACCTTCTTCATCTAAGCCCCGACTTCCTTCAGAGTCTTCAGACAGACGCAGCTGCAGTACGTGGTTTTCTAAGAAATCCCCAACATTGCTTGCAATCCTTTCCTCTAACTGAGACTCTCTCGTTTTAGGATCTTCAGCCAAACGTTCATAGCTGCGTGACGAACGCACAGAGCCAGTGTTTACTAAACTTATTCCATCAAAAATATCCAAGTCCTTTACAACGGCTAACTTTTCAGTGAGCCTGTATGCTTTTTCCTGAAACAATATACATGAACTTTTACTTAATGTTAAAAACTAAGAGGGTGATTTTGAGCATAATAATTTATAAGCCTTTTATTAATACAACTTTAGTAATAAAATATTCTCGAAGAAGTTTTAATATCCAGTGGCTATCGCGCACTGGTAAGCAAAGTGTAGGGCAGCTTCCCACTAGATCGTATGATGATCTAGTACAAAGTGCAAGGAGTCGATGGATGCAGATCGCTCGGGACAGAGTATTGTAGATTTTCACAAGGAAGGCCCTATATTCAGCAGCCTTGTGACGGGCTATAATGTTGATGATGGTGGTGTAAAATATGACGCCATTTGTTATGACAAAAACTTATGGTACACGTTAAGCTTTTATTAGTAATTTTAGATCGATATCGACAGATAGATTAGTTTCAAGGTTCAGCACTTAAGAAAATATATAGCGCGAAAGTAAATATTAAAAGGTGTCGAGGTAGACCGGGACTAACTTTCAAAGACCATGTGAGCAAATTGCTCGAAGAGGGGAGGGTCAAGAGTACTCGGATACCTAGACGTGCATGTATGAAGAAGATAATGAATCTGAAAGAAGCGAAAGTGGTATGTAAGGATCGTGACACTTGGCGATCTGTTCTCTCTGGTTACCTCGTCAGGGATTGTGCGTGAAGATATGCAAGTAAGTAAGTAAGCACTTAAGTGACAAATAAAGAAAGAGATATGTTATCCAAAATTAAAGTACAGCTTCTATTTGATCAATTCATAAGTAAAGGATCTTATTAGGATAGTATTAGTTTTTCAAACACATCACTTCACTTTGAATAGTACAGCAAAATCACTTTTCACCTTCAAACACAATGTTGTGTCGCTTTCGATGCACTCGGACACAGCGCCCACAAAGTTTTCCGCGATGCCATTTTCTACCGGGCTGCTTTTCACTGTTGCCAAGGTGACTAAGGTTAGAATAATTTTCCACATGTTGTTTTGTATGATGCCCGTACTTCAATAACCGACGCTGGGCAAGTTATGATATCTTCCAAAAAATCTGATGTATTTTATCCTTTGACCCCCCACTACGTTTTTGTTGAAGGTGACGTAAAATATGTGTGTACTGTTTGACGTCGTATGTTAACTGATGGGCCGAGTATCGCGTAAGTTCTATACACGTGAGGATAAGTAGAAAAATAAATATTGGATGTTAGAAAGCGAAGTTTGCTTACAACATCCCAATAAGAACTCACCCGGCGTTTGTAAAGTTAGTGCAAATGAAATGAAAGAAAAAGTGTGATTATTTGCACTTATTTAAGCCCGTCAAGTGAAAATGATTACGTGATTTTGATTTTTTTTTTTTTTGGAATTATGAAATTATTGTAAAGAATAAATAAACCCAATGCTAAAATGATTGGTCACTCTCGCATAAGCTTTTTCTCATTTTATATTATATACACTCATTTTGAACTTTTCCTATTGGAGGTCATAATAGTCAATGAGATGAAACCGGATGGGATAGTGTCGCATGAACCCAAAAATGAATTTCCGCTGCACTCACAGAAAAATTCTTACATTTCATCTACCGATAACATTTATTTACATGTAGTCTTTTAAATATTATACGTATAATCTCACATCTAGTTAGATTGTACCTTTATATTTACAGTATTAGAATCAAACGATCCATCACCATTATCATTGTTACAGCTCATCAAAAGGACTCTGATGAACAAACACCTTTTCGCAATTGAGTTGAAGGATAAGATTGCTACTGTAAATACTGGTTGTAAGACGTTTCATATTAGGCCTTAGAGTAAAAATGCTTTCGTACCTTTCCTTAATTGAAATTTGTTTCTAAGTAAACGTGCAATAGTCAGTGACTAGATGCTCAATGGCTATTGACCATTATTCTTAAAATGTTACCTCACGTTATTAACTGCTATTTAAAATAACAGTTGTTTATCTTTGTAAAAATTCAATCCTGTCATTTGTAAGAATTAAATAAAAATAAAGAGTACGTCAAAATGCTATATGAATATAATTATGGTGCTAAATTGCTCATCGTATTCTTACCCATTCATTCGTATCATGTATGATAAAATTATATACCCAACTTTCACTCAGAACTCAACGAAATTCGGAATTAACATACTATAGTGTAAAGTAACACTGAATGCCAACGTATCGTTATGTTAAGAAAATGGCTGGTTTTTAACAATAAATTTCATGTTTATGTAGTTACACAATTGCTTAGCAATCATAAAACAAAATGGTGTTTGAAACAGAACATACTAAAATTTCTTTTACTGATATTTGTGGTAAATCTGGGATTAATGTTTGCAGTAAATTACCGTTGTAGCCCGCATTCAATCTCCGCTGACACCAATGAAATAATTGAAGTATTAAAATCTGATTTACTATGTACATGGCACTAAAGAAAAACATCTCAAGGAAACTTATATGTATAAGAAATAATATATTTTAAAAACACGTGGTAGAGCCATGCTTTTGCTATATCCGCCTGCAGCACGAATGGGTCGGCTCGACCGGAGCTGCCACAGAATACCAGCGGCAACTAGCAGCTTAATGCTGCTGTGCTTCGTATGATGAATGTAGAGAAACGGAGACCCTTTTTACTGGTAACAAAGCATTCCATCTCATCTCATTTCGATTCTTAGATCAATAGAGGATACATGTAGATGACTATGGGCCACGGCATCCGCTTACCATCAGGTGGACTGTGTGCTCGCTTGTCACTCTTACTCTATTAAAAAAAAACATGTGAAGTCTTCCATTCTCACATTAGCATCACATTGGAAATGTAATTGCTCCTAACTCTTAGCGACAAACGAACTAACAATCCGTCTGATGGTAAGTGGCTACTGTAGTCCTTAGACACTTGCCGGCTACTTCAAACAACGAAGACTACCGATACAGATGTGTTGTCACCTCTGAGATGGAATCGCTACTAGCGTATAATTGTTACGTGGTAGAGCCAGCAGCTATATTACTGGTATAGTTGTAGCACAAATGGGTCGGCTCGACCGGGGAAGGAACACGCTCGTATAGTTAGTGTAGAAACCGGAGACCCTTTTTTACTGGAAACGAGGCATTCCATCTTAGCCCTCACGGGTGACAACGCATCTGCATTTTGATTCGTAATCGAGGATAGATTGTAGATGTCTATGAGCTACAGCAACCACTTACCGTTAGGTGGACTGTGTGCTTGTTTGTCACCCTTATCATATAAAATAAATTATACTGACTCTCTGTAGCTTTTAGCAGTGCACGTGCACTTCTATTTGGCGACAGAAATAAGTAAGAGGATGTTACTAACCCAGACAGACTCCTAGGCAAAATATGTGTCCTTCCTACTTGTAAATTGCGTGTTCTCTTCTATTAGACGTATTTTGGTAATAACTTTTTATTTAATATCTTGATGGTCTCAATTATTTGTTTTGCTCTCCTTCTTTATCAACTTTTTTTAATATACTGCTTGAGACAGACATTTTCAAGATTTCTCTGCATTGGGATCCGAGCAGAGCAGACACATAATAAGCTCGTATTGCTACTAAAATCCATTATGGAAATGTGGGAATAGTTTAAATTAAGCAGAGCAAAGGAGATAAGTTTTAGTACTAAGGAGATTACATTTTTGTTCCTTTTAAAACTTTTACTATGCTAATACACAAATATAAAACAAAATTGTATTATCTATAGTTAAATACTCATTTTTAAGTTATTATTTTATAGGTTTATTATGGATATAATTTTATATAATATGTACATACTATACCATTTAGAATTTTACAAGTTATAAGTTAAAGATTTAAATTTATTTTGATGGTTTTATATACCGTATAGTAGCGGTGAAAGAATGTCCACTACCCCATATCATCCCGTGGGTGGAATGGGACAGAGATAAACAAATCAGGTAATGGGCAGCAGCGTCTTCCTAATAACAATAAAAATAAAAAACTCCGGTTGCCAAACCACTTGCCAAGCGTTCAGCAGTGGGCTTTAAGAGGCTGTAATGTTAACGGTTTTATATCAGCTTTTTGTCATCTGCATCATTGTAAACAAAATTTCTATTAAATTCGCACGTGACGATCTGAGATATTTCAAATTTATGCTCTTAGCCTTATTTTCTTTGCTATATTCTTGTATTCTTTTGTTTACACGTCTTTAGTTTCACTTCATTATTTTGACGACAAGTTTCTAAATTCTCACAAATCTACAATCACACAATCATATTTTCTAAGTATAAGTAAATATACATAACCGATACGGCTACACATATAGTGCCGAAACGTAGAAGCTAACGGTACGACTACTCCACAAACCCAAAAGCGCCCAGAGAGCGATGGAAATAGCTGTGCTCGTAGTTTCTTTGGTGATTAAGATTCCTTACGAAGAAATCCACCAAAGAATCAAAGTTACCGACATAGCCTTTCATGTTAGCAAGCTGAAATGTATGGGCTGGTCACAACTTTCGCAGGAGCGATAACCATCGGTAGACGTGTCATAGAGTAGAGACCGTAAACGCTGTGTAGAACATCCTCTAGCTACATGGAGTGACGATCTGTGCAAAGACGCTGGCAGAAACTGCATGCGTGAAGGCTTATAATATCAGGTTTATTAACATGCCTTGTGAGACGCCTATGTTTGCTATATTGACTGCTGCAAGCTGATGATGATGAGTTGTATGCTTGGGTAAAAAAGATTGTTTGGTAAAATTTTTGTTTCGTATAATAGGAAATTATTTTAAAGCTGTGTATAGTAGGTACATAACTACGCTATGCCGTGCACACTTGCCTTATATTTCATACTAATGGGACATTTTAAGAAACGACAATGTACATGTATCCATTTTGATTTGGAGTTGGTTGCAGATGTCTATGAGCTATAATGGCTGTTTACCTGCTAGTGCATACTATTGTTTATCACATTTAATGGTAAAAAAAAAACAAAATAATGATTAAGATAGTAAGGTAGCCATATATATAATATAATAAATATGAAATGCCAATTACTTAATATGTTTTCAATGTACTAATTATTAGTTTAGCTATTCGTGTTCTAAGTCATTGTATTCTAGTGCCGCCAGTGACCATGAATTATTATAAAACGACTAAGTAATTGAGCTCAAGTGTACACCAATTGTGTTACATCTACATCATAGCTGATGCAATAAGTCTTCGTTACGTACAGTTCGCGTCGTCCGGTGAAAGTATGCGGATAGCTTTTTTGCTTCTTGCAAATTTTTCGATCATGCCTTTCAAGGCCTCTATTGAAAATTACCGATTCTTTAAGAGATTTTTTTTTCTATGAAATTGAATTTTAATTTTCGAAAACGTTTGAGGCATTATATTGTTATTGAATTTCATATTGTGAAATTCATTCATAATTTTGCATGTATTAATATTAGATTAAGCCGTTTATGTGAATACTGAAAAGTAATTAGTTTTATATTGCATAAATACATATTACATATTATGCCATTTTTTTATTTAATTATTACAAATATATCGAAAAATCCAACATCATAGGGTTGTGATGAATTAAATTGATACTTATAAAAACATATAATGAAATATATGTATTGTTATTTAAAAATAACTAACTGTGATGTGGCGTTAGAAAATCCATCAATATGAATCTTTCAATAATATATTTAAATATTGTATTAAATAGTTTTCTTAATAATCTTTATTTACACTTTTACATAATACTTAATTTTATCTACAATATTAAAAACTATGATAATAAAAAAAAACTAAAACTAGAAACTTAATTATCATATAGTCCTACTCCCCGCGGTATCGTGCCAAGAACGCTGGCTGCGTTTCCCCGCTGAATGGCTATACTTAGCCTTTGAGCGAGGAAAGAACCAGCCCTCTTATTACCAGCAGCAACGACCAGCCGCGGATGGAGTTCCTTTAGGATATTGTATTGGCTACATTATATTGTGAATGGAAACCATAATA